CTCCACCAGAATTCAGCAGAGCACATATCGCATGCAGGATGCTTTGATTCTGTTCTTTCTGCAGGTGAGGGTCCATTTCATTCCTTTGCTTCTCCCCAAGGATGACTTTTCCTGCATTTAAAACACACTCAGCAAAGTTCGTTTCCAAATCAGTCTTGAGATTCATCTTCTCAGCACTTTTCCTATTCTTACCCTGAAATGTTCTCCTAAAAAACAGGAAGACAGAACCATTAGAACAGGATACAAATAGGGGCAGTAGGGAATGGACAGTTTAAGGGCACTCTTCTAAAGTGGATTACGTAATTTATTTCCACTGAGCTTGAGGCCAGACTCATACATGAAGGGTATACAACAGGTTGAAGAACTAAGTCTGCAGGTAGCCCATGGCCACCACAGAATTGATCAAGCGGCTATTTTTATGCTATGATTTTAGTAACTGTTTCTGCCAAGTTCTCTAAATGACAACATCTCTCAAGGCACCTGCAGAAAGCAGGAAGCATTGTAAAAATACACATAGATAAGAGCTGCAATGCAACTGGAAAGATTTCATGGTCAAAATATGTCTTCGATATTTATTGTTATTCTTGGTACTTGGTCACCAGTTCGATTCCCAGTCAGGGCACATGTCCAGGCTGTGGGCTCAATTCCCAGTAGGGAGTGTGCAGGCAGCTGATTGATGTTGATGTTTCTCTCTCATCATCAATGTTTCTATCTCTCTCTCCCTCTTCCTTCCTCTCTCTCTCTCTCAAATCAATAAAAACATATTTTTTAAAAAGAATAATGAGACATCACTTCACATCTATTTGGATAGTAGTAATCTATACTAATAAAAGGGTAATATGCTAATTAGACCAGGAGACCTTCCAGGAGACCTTCTGGACGTCCTACTGGACAAAGCCATGGTGGTGGGGCCGAGGCAGAGGCAGTTAGGGGCGATCAGGCCAGGAGGGGAGAACAGTTGGGGGTGATCAGGCTTGTAGGGCGGGGCAGTTGGTAGCGAGCAGGTTGGTGGGATGGGGGGGCAGCTGGGGGCAAGCAGGCTGGCGATGGGGGCAGTTGGGGGTGAGCAGGCTGGCAGGCAGAGTGGTTAGGGGCGATCAGGCAGGCAGGCAGGTGAGCTGTTAGGAGCCAGTGCTCCCAGAATGCAAGAGAGCAGTCAGACATCCCCCAAGGGGTCCCAGCTTGGAGAGGATGCAGGCCAGGCTGAGACACCCTCCACCCCCTGCATGAATTTCATGCACCTGGCCACTAGTAATAAGTAGTAAAAAAACAAAAACAGGTGTTGCTGAGGATGTAGAATAAATATGTCAAACTCGCAGCCGGCGGGCCACATGCTGGCTGCGAGTTTGACATGTTTGATGTACAGAAATTGGAATCCACATACATTGCTGGTAGGAATACAAAACATTGCAGCCATTGTGGAATATAGTCTGAAAGTTGTTCAAAAAGCTAAACACAGAATTACCATATGATCCAGCAATTCCACTCCTAAGTATATACTACACAGAATTGAAAACGGGCAATCAGATGAATCCTTGAAACTCAAATAAGTCATGAATGTGCATAGCAGCACTGTTCAGAATAGCCAAAAGGTGGAAACAACTCAAATGTCTATCAACAGCCGCGTGGATAAACAAACTGGGCTCTATTCACACAATAGAATATTCTCCAGCCACAAAAAGGAATAAAGTATTGATGCTTGCTTCAACATGGATGAACACTATACCAAGTGAAAGAGCCAGACACAAAAGGTCACTGTATGGACTGTATGTTTATGTCCCACAGAGCTCATATGTTGAAACCCTAACCTCCACTGGGATGGTATTAGGATGCGGGGCTTGTAGGGAGTAATTAGGTCATGAGAGTGGAGCCCTTGTGATGGGAGTAGTACCCTTATAAAGAAGAGGCACCAGAGAGCTTATTTCTCTCTCTGCTCTCTTCACCATAGGAGGATACAAGGAGAAGGCAGCCACCTGCAAACCAGGAAGAGAGCCCTCACCAGACACAGGATCTGCTGGCACCTGAATCACTATGGAAACTCAGGAGAGGTTTAGAAGGGTTTTTGTTTTGTTTTGTTTTTTTGATCTTAGACTTCCCAGCCTCCACAGCTGTGATAAATAAATGTGTGTTGTTTAAGCCACTCAGTTTATGATACTTTTACTACAATAACCCAAACCGACTAAGACAGTCAAATATAATTCCTTTGATGAGAAACACTCAAAATCAATAAAATCATTGAATCAGAAAGAAGATTGGTGGTTGCCAGAGGCTAGGCGAATGAGGAATAGGGAGTAACTGCTCAATGGGATTTTATTTGGGAGTGATGAAAATGTTTTGAAGCTTGACAGGAGTGGTGGTTGCATACCATGGTGAATGTACTAAATGCTGCTGACTTGTTCACTTTAAATGGTTAATTTTATGTTATACAAAGTTCACCTGAATTTTTAAAATTTAATCCAAAAATGAAGGTGAAATAATTCATTAGCAGAACTGCAATCCAAAAAACATTAAAGAAAGTCTTTAGGCAGGAGGACTATGGTACCAGTTGGAAAATGCATATGCACAAAGCAGTGGAGAACATTGGATATGATAACTACATGAATAAATTATATATTTATGGGTAAATTTATATATATATATTACACTAAATACATTAAATATATAAGTTATATATAAATTATATCTAATCATATGTAATTTATACATATAGAATAAATATATACTTTTTAAACATATCTCTTTTAAAATTAGAGTACTAACATTAACTGATTTTAAGCCTTTTTATACAATTACAGTAACCAACATATTATAGAATTGGTATAAAGATGTAAAATACGTCCATGGAATAAAATTAGGCATCAACAACAAAGGTGCAAAGTGAAGAAAATATAATTGTTTCAACAAGTAGGACTAGAACAATTGGATATCCATCTACAAAAGAAATGAACTTCAATTCATATTTTACACCACTTACAAAAGTACTCAAAGATGTCTTAGACCAAAATGTAAAACCTAAAACCCTGTGGAAATAAATGAAGACTGCCAAAGGAGACCATGCAGAGTCTATTAATTCATTGCTCACTGTGTTTAGGAAAAGAGCCACCAACATTTGCGGTGGCAGAGGAATGGGAAAGCTTTACGGTATAGTTAAAAAAGGGAAGGCTCAGCAATGCTCTGTTTTTGCTTGTTGGCTTGTGTGTATGTGTTTTAAAATAACTCTTTATTGTTGAAGAATTTTTCCCCCATTAACCCCCTGCAGCCCACCCCTGCCCCCCCTCCCGCCCATTGTCTGTGTCCATGGGCCACGTATATATGCATAGAAAGTCCTTGCTTGATTGCCTCCCACCCACCCTCCCTCCCCTGCCTTCCCTCCAAGATTCCAAATTCTGTTCCATGCTTCCTTCCATGTGCTCTGTTTTGAGGTTGTTCTAGGGAAGCTGAATGTGGACTTAGTAGACGCAGGGCATCTTATGTGACTGGTTTGGAAGCCTATTTCTTTCTTTGGTTGGTTCTAAATCGGTAGTGGGCGGCAAAAATTAGGGAAGCAGGCAGTTACTGACCAAGTCCTGGCCACTTTGAGCCAGTTGCCACGGGGGTTGTGGTTTGGCTTCCAGCTAATTTGTTACAGAGGTTGTGGGTCAGAGTTCTGTGTTTACTTATCTGGCCAGTGTCCCTTTGCAGATTCAGTCTCTCAACCTCAAAACTTAGGAGGAAAACACAGGAGAAAATATGTTTACCTTGGGTTCAGCAAACATTTCTTAGAGGTGACATGAAATGCACAATAAAAAACGTAACATATTGGACTTTGAGAAAGTCTCCTTACTGAAAGACACTGTTAAGGAATGAAAATACAAGCCCCTGACTGGAAGAAATATTTGCACATGATGTATATGATAAAGAACTTGTAGCTTTCTAATTTCTATATAGAACTCTTGGAAGGCAATAATATAAGAATAACCAACTTAAAAATGGATAAGAGATTTGAACAGATGCTTCCCCAAAGAATGTATATAGAGAACAAAAATAAGTACATAAAATGATGTTCAGCCTCACTAGTCATTAGGGAAATGCCAAACGAGGCCCAGCCGGTGTGGCTCTGTTGGAGCGTCCACCCAGGAGCCAAGAGGTCATAGTTCAATTCCCAGTTAGGATACTTGCCCTGGTTGTGGTCTCAATCCCCACTAGGGGGCAGAAGGCAGCTGATCAACAATGTGTCTCTCTCATCAATGTTCCTAGCTCTCTGTCCCTCTCCTTCCTCTCTCTCTCAAAAAAACAAAAACAATTAAATAAAACTACAATGAGATAACATTGTACACCTATTAGAATGACTAAAATGATGAACCAACCAGGTGTTGGTGAGGATGTGGACGAAAGGGAACTTCCATATGAATCTGGTAGGCACATACAGTACAACCATTTTGGAAAAGAGTTCGGTAGTTGCATACACTTACCATATGACCCAGATATTCTACTTTTAAGTATTTACCCAAGAGAAATGAAAACGTATGTCCATACAAAGACCTGTGCATGCATGTTCACAACACCCAAGATAGCAGCGTAGGTAAACTCTGGTACTCGCCACCTTCCACAACTACATCAAAATTTATCAAATTGAAAAAAAAAAAAAATTTATCAAATTGTACATTTTAGGTATGTGCAGTTTACCATCTGTCAAAAATACCCCCATAATGCTATTAAAAACTACACAGATGGCCCTGACCTGTTTGGCTCAGTGGATAGAGCGTCGACCTGCGGACTGAAGGGTCCCAGGTTCGGTTCCACTCAGGGCATGTACCTTGGTTGAGGGCACGTCCCTGGTGGGGGGTGTGTAGGAGGCGGCTGATCAATATTCCTCTCTCATCGATGTTTCTGGCTCTCTGTCCTTCTCCCTTCCTCTCTATAGAAAATCAATAAAATATATTTTTAAAAATAAATAAATAAATAAAAATAATAATTTTTAAAAAACTACACAGATGAATGATTATGAAAAAATAAGTTAAGTGCTCGCTTCGGCAGCACATATACTAAAATTGGAACGATACTGAGAAGATTAGCATGGCCCCTGTGCGAAAATGACACGCAAGAAGAAAAACAAAAGGGAAAAAAAAGAAAAAAGAAGTTAAAAGTATCTATCCTATCAAATAATAGACAAAAAGGGTAATTAACCATACCTCCGCTACGCTTCCCATTGGCTAATCAGGGAGATATGCAAATTAACTGCCAAGAAAGATGGCGGTTAATTTGCATACATAGGCGCCAAGCCACGGACTGAGGCATTAGGCCTGGGCCGGAGCGGAGCCAGCCAGCGATCGTTGATGGCGGTGGCAGGGAGCTGGGGGTGCCCTGTCCAGGCCTAACACCTTGGCCAGAGGCATTAGGCCTGGGCTGGGGCAGAGCAGCGGGGAGCTAGGGAGTTGGGGGTGCCCTGCCCAGGCTTAATGCCTCAGCCAGAGGTGTTAGGTCTGGCCCGGGGCGGAGCCAGCCAGCAATCATTGATGGCCGGGGCGGCAGGGAGCTGGGGGTGCCTTGCCCAGGCCTATGCCTCGGCCAGAGGCGTTAGGCCTTGCCCTGGGCAGAGCCATCCAGTGATCGTTGATGGCAGCAGGGAGCTGGGGGTCCCCTGCCCAGGGCTAATGACTCGGCCAGAGGCGTTAGGCCTGGGCAGGGGCCAAGCCAGCAATTGGTATGAACTACAGAGGAAACACCTTGCTGATTGGCTTAGCTCTCTGTATGCCACTAGTAATATTCTTAGTAACTTGGGTAATAAGAGTCCAAATAGGTGATCTACGGTTTTTTACCACACTCCTGGAGAAAAAAAGGAAGGTCCGCTGCTGGAGGGCTAGGAAATGTCATATCCTGCCCTAGCCAGTTTGGCTCAGTGGATAATGCCTTGGCCTGCTGATGGCAGGGTCTGGGTTCAATTCTGACAACGGGCATGTACCTAGGTTGCAGGCTCCTCCCTGGCCCGGGCCCAGGTCAGGGCTCATGCAGGAGGCAACCAATCAAAGTGTTCCTCTCACTTTGATGTTTCTCTCTGTCTTTCCCTTTCTCTTCCACATTCTCTAAAAATCAATGGAAACATATCCTCAGGTGAGGATAAAAAAAGAAAGAAAGAAAGAAAGAAATGTCATATCCTATGAAAGACACATCTTGAAAATGCCTAAAGAAAGTTGTCATTTTTTCATGGTAAAGGGACTGGAGTCCATGTTGATGAAAACACCTTGGTGGCTGTGGTGACTGGCAGTGGCTGCAACAGCAGGGTGATGGGGCTGATGCCTTCCCCTGATCAGCCCGGTCGCCTCCCACAAAGGGAGGCCAGATTGTGGCTTAGGCCCGCTCCCCAAGGGGCACAGGGAGCAGGGAGTAGGACATCCCCTAGGGCTCCCAGTATCTGATAGGGGGCAAGCTGGGCTGAAGGACCTCCCCCCCTCCAGTGCACAAATTTTTGTGCACCGGGCCTCTAGTATATATATAAAAGGCTAATATGCAGTGTCCCCGCAGGAGTTCGACTGGGAGACTGAGAGTTCGATTGCTCGCTATGATGTGTGCTGACCACCAAGGGGCAGTGCAGAACGAAGGAAGGCCCTGGGTGACAGCCGGAAGGCCCCAATCAGCCCAGATCACTGGCCAGGCCTAGGGACCCTACCCGTGCATGAATTTTGTGCACTGGGCCTCTAGTATTACTATAATATAATGAGCTCAGTAACCTGCTAGGAGTGTATTTGTGATAGGATTAGTGTTATAGAGACTCCAATTCTGCATAGTCCAGATGGAGACTTTTGTGTGCCCTCATGTTCATTTGATAATAACCACCACCCCATCCTGCCCTTTCCCTTACATATGGGAAATTTACACTTCTCAGCTCTGCAAAGTCCCATCTCCATGGAAATCTTCGTGTGAAAAACAGATCATTCTAACTGCCAGTGAAAATTACATCAGCAACAGAAGAGACAATCTCTCTTCCTTCAGGTACATAAAAGCAGAAAGTATTCCATTTCATAAAGTTGCCTTCGTAGATTTTGTTTTTCTAGCAGAGGAATCCCCCAAGACCCTTGGTCTTCAGAAACTGTTGCTCTGGCCTGTGAAATGTCTAATAGCCTTGACAAATACTATAACTACGAATGGTTGTTTACTTAATGTCCTCTTGCCATGACAATAATATTGAAATTGATTTCTGTTTTCTGATAGGCACAAACACCTCTGAATTTTCATAATCGGGCCAGGAGCAGATCATCACATTTCAGTCTGCTTCCACTGGCAAGAAAGTACTAAAATTTGTGATTGCTCATTTAAAAAAAATTATTGACTGATTTGAGAGAGAGGAAAAGAGAGGGAAAAATGTTGATTTGTTGTATCACTTATTTATGCCTTCATTAGTTGTATGTGCTTTGATGGGATATTGAACCCACAACCTTGGCATATTGGGACCACGCTCTAACCAACTGAGCTACTGGGTCAGGGCACTCATTTTCTTACTTAAACAAATGAGTTGAAGAGTGTTGTGTGGTACAGAGTGTTGTGTGGTGAAGGCCTGGGAACCGGGTGGAGGGGAACAAGGCGGGGAAAAGAGGAGGACATCTGTAATACTCTCAACAATAAAGATAAGAAAAAAACTATATTGGAGGCCCTAACAATACAATAGGATAAGAAAAGAAAGAAAATTTATAAGACTGAAACCAAATTATCATTATTTTCAGACATAATATCTAGGTAGAAATCCAAGGAAAGTTGTAGAAATAAATCAAAAACAAATTTCTAAAAAGAACACTTCTGATCGCTGTTCTTAGCTGCTCATCTTCCCTCCTCTTCCGGCCACGGGGATCGCCCCTCAGCACAGACTTCAGCAGAATCAGTTTCTGTTTCCCCGGAGGCAGCAAGGCCTCGCCCCCTTTCCCCTTAGCCACCGCACCCATTTCCTCCTAGAGACTCCGCTCTGAGGTCAGGGTGGGTGCAGATGAACCTGCAGGAGCCAAGCAGAGGTCCTGCCGCCCAGCATCCCCTCCCTACACCCCAGTCCTAAGGATTCCTTCTGGCTCCTAGACAGTCATGTGCAAAAATGGACCAGAGCCCTGGCCCGTAGCTCAGTTGGTTAGAGCTTCCTCTTACCCCAAGGTTTCGGGTTCCATCCCCCATCAGGGCACATACAAGAATCCACCAGAGGAGTGGGGGGGGGGGGGGGGATCAAACAGTGAAAGCAGAACTGAGTGGAACAACAAATCAATGCAAATCAATGTCTCTCGTCCTCTCTCTCTCTCTCTAGCTCTCAAATCAATTTTTACAAAAGATATATTTTTTAAGACAAAGTGGACCAGAATCACTCCCGGGCAACACAGCCTCGGGGAACAGAGCCCTAGTGAGCCACTATCAGTGGTTCTCAACCTTCCTAATGCCGCGACCCTTTAATACAGTTCCTCATGTTGTGGTGACCCCCAATTTCATTGTTACAAATTGAACATAATTAAAGCATAGTGATTAATCACAAAAACAATAGGTAATTATATCCGTGTTTTCGGATGGTCTTAGGCGACCCCTATGAAAGGGTCGTTCGACCCCCAAAGGGGTCGCGACCCACAGGTTGAGAACCGCTGAAGGACCAGGGCTTGGGGGCTAGACTGTGAGCCCGCCCACCGGGTGGGAGCTGTTAGGGTGTGAGGACTGGCGTCCCAAGCCTGGGGTCCCCGGGCAATCCGCGGAGCACAGCCTCTTTCAATGAGCCGGACACTGACCTCATGGGTCCCCAGGCCACAGCCGCAGCCGCTTCACCTTCGAGCTCGGCACCCGGTTAGAGGTTTCCTGTAAAGTTCTCTGAGCCCCTGAACCGGGGGGACTTCCGCAGGCTGGTTTGGGAAGATGTGGGCTGTGACGCTGGGCGCCCCCCACCCCCACCCCCCCAGCTCGCCGTGGGCTCCAGGCTCCGGGGTCCTTGCCCGCCCACCTGTTGGAAGTGGCTACTATTGAGTGCGAGTCCGAGAGTCCGCAAACCCAGGCTCCCTCCCAGGCGGGGAAGGAACCCCCGGGGCGGGAAAGGGGCTCCTGGGGCGGGAAGGGGCCCCCGGGGTGGGGAAGGAGCCCCCGGGAGGGAAAGGAGCCCCCGGGGCGGGAAAGGGGCCCCCCGGGGCGGGAAACGAGCCCCCGGGCGGGAAAGGAGCTCCCGGGGTGGAGCCCAGGCCCAGGGCTGCAGCCGCTGCACCCCGCCTTCACCACCGCAGGGTCGGGGTCCTGCGCGCACCTGGGGAGGGGGAACCGAGGTTTTGGAGGACCTGTGCAAAGGGGCGCGGGACTCATTACCTGTCAAGGTTTCTCCTCTGCAGCGCGCCTCCCTCCCGGAGACAGCGATGGAACGATGGAGCGTCCCAAACCCAGAGCCGTGGCCGTGACCCTGCAGGGACCGGTCCTTAAATCACCTGAAATCGGTGACAATTCACGGGGCTGGGCACGGGAGACAGGAACAGCCCAAATAGTTCGCTTCTGTAGACCGGAAGCCCGCTTCTGCCAGGACAGCAGCCTCGGTGATCTTTGGTGGTTGGGGGTGGGGTGTTGTTTCATTATGGTTTCGGATGAGCGATGAGCCGGGCAGTACTCGCCCCATCCAAGGAGGGATTTTCCCGAGCAACCCCACCTCCTCTCGCCCTGCCCGGACGCCCCAGCTGCCCGCGGGCCACAGGTCTCTCTCCCCAACGCCTCCAGCCGGGTTTGGGGCTGGAACTGCGGGATCGGTCGCCCGACTCTCCCCGGGGAGCGAGGAGTTGGGAGCGGGGAGTGTCACCGCTTGCTAGAACACCCTCAGGATCAGGCGATGGTGTTTTGGTGAACGAAAAGGGGAAATGTCCTTTTGATTCACCTGCCCACTGCAGGCTTGCTCACACCCCAGCCTTGTCCAAGACTACCGTTCTCAATGTGTTCATCCTAATTTTATTACCAAGAGTGTTCTGGGCGGAGGCGGGGGGCGGGGCGACGCTAGGCCAAGGCGGGTGTGAGCGGGGAGCCCTGCCAGTCGCCCCACAGATCATGCACTGGGCCTCGAGTAACTATATAAGCCTGGAGCTACTGTGGACTATCTTCCCTAGCACATGGGGAGAGGCTACCAGAAAATAAGGTCAACCCAGAG